GTAAGTCCAGTAGACTTTGGGAAAATCTAGTATTCACTGACTTTGAATTAACAAAGTAACTTGACTCCTTTGTGGGTTTTTTTTTGTTTTTTTTTTGGCTTGCTTGAAAAAGTATTGATTTTTATATCTGTCTGTAATTTAGGATTGTGGTTCTCAACTTTTAGTGTGTATGAGGATCCCTGAGGAAGAGATGCTTGATCCCACCTTTGGAAATTTAGGACAGTAGGTCTGAGAGACCCTGGGTATTTTTTTAATGCCACAGATAATTTTGATGTGTAATAAGGACAAGAGTCATCAGTAGAGGTAGAGAATCAGTGTCTGAGCCATTAAAGAATTAAAACCCAGGTTGTGTTACCAAAAAGATGTTTTTCCTTAAATTTTAAGGAATGATAATGTTTTGAATTTATTGCTCTTCTGTATAATAAATTTGGTCATTCTTACATTGCTTGGGCTATTAATATGAAATTGCTTTCTAAACATTTTAGTTGTATTGACATTCTTATAGTGTGGCCAAAGTTCCCCTATATTAATATTTCCAGTGTCTTTAATCTCTTTCTTTGTGGAATATCTTTTTTTCTAAAATGCCAACTTGTCCATTTTCATGTTTTGAAGTCAGTATAGATACAGACTTGGTTAATGTGGCCCATAACTTTTTGGATGGCTTTGTGCTTCAAAGTAGCCTAGGTGGAAGTCTGAGAGTACCTTTTAGATGGCAGGGTATTTCACTGTACATTAGTAGCAAGTAATATTTGTTGCTTATATTTATGAACTCTGGGAAGTACCAAAGCCAGAGCTCAAGACATTACGCTGCTGCTGTTAGGGTGTAGGTGGCTCAGGGCTACAGCCTCTGTCCAGGATGTGACTCCCTCTTCTTGTCAAATCATGTGTTCCTATAAAAGAGTTGCATTTTCAACCATAAGGTCAGACATGCTCATAACTCTCAATCTTCAGTAAGGTGTTTCCCAAGTGGTACATTATTAATAATAACAAAGTGAAGTTTATGAATGATTCACGTCACCTTGAAGCTATTCTAGTTTGTTTGTTTTTTTGGTATAATAAAACCACTCTAATTTACTTGTACTCTATTATATCTGCTCATTTAGAGGAGAGGGAAGTAGGTTACCTGATGTTCCCGGAGTTGTGCATAAGAACCCTGGGAATGTGTTGAACACAGGACTGTCATGGATGGTATCTGTTGCTTTGGAAAACAAGGTTGGATTTCTTCAGGAAACGGGCTCTGAGATGGAGATTTGCATGTAGATGGTTTAGTGAGTTGGGCTTTCTGAGAGGTCCTGAGTTGAGGCAAGGGAGCCAGGCCTGTGCATTCTAGATATTGATGAGTCATTGGATGTACACTGCCCTCCAGGAGGGGATGTAACCTTGGATGAAGCAGCTTGTTTGGCCAAGGGCAATGCCTAAGAAGGGACTCAGCTGTGAGCCAGCAGCAGGCAGCATCCTGGGCATCTGCGGGGATGAGTGTTGTGGGCCCAGAGGGGCAATATGAGTGACTCACTGCAGCATCCACTGGACTGTCTTGCCCAAAAGGTTCCAAGTGCGCAACATGAAACTTCAACATTTGATCTCCTGACCTTGTGGGTCTACATAATTCTTAAGCTGTAGACTTTCTTTTAGGATACTGGTTCCCTATTTTTTCCTTCCATTCCCCATTCAGTGGTAGCAACAGGGAAGGCTGTTTACATAAAAGCTTGGGACTTGATCTGTTTGGGATTGGCCATCATTTTGGAGTCTAGACGTAATTCTAAGAGCCCAGTGATTTTTTTTTTTTTTTAACTTTGATTTTGTAATGTTGGTGTTGACATAATTTTAGTCAATGCTTTGAAACTGTTGTCACCCTTCAGAACTTATAAATGACCAAGAACCATCACAACTGGTGTGTTACCAGGAGACCAGCATGGTGTCTCTGATCATTTGTTGGTATGGGAGCCATAACACCCCAACTGGCATTTGTACCCTAGTGGCTGTACCCTTTTCATTCACTGTGGTATGTAACCTTTTAAAACTGATGATTCTTTTTAAAAGATCCTCTTGGAGTGTCACTCAAGAAAGAAAATGGCAATATTAGCCATCTATTGTTGCATGCTTAGCTCTGGTACTTGTGCCAAGCCCTTTCCATGTAATATTTCATTTTGTTTTTAATAACATGTTTGTTTGCAGGGTAGTTATCTGTTTTGCAGATTAAGAAACAGGCTCAGATGCATTTAGCCTGGTCTCACGACTAGTCAGGTGGAAGAGCCAGTATTATCTGTTTGAATCTTTGCTCTAAACTTGGTGCTGTGCTGCATCCCAGAGATCTCGGTGGTTGGGATGAGGGAGGGTGGTGGCAGGGTTGGGGAATGCTAAGGTAGAGGCACTATTTTCCTGGATGGGAATAGAGAATTGGTCAGCTGAATAGGCACAAGAGGGAGGGCTCCTGCCACCAGAAGCGTGACTCTTCCGCACCAGAATAGCTAAAAACAAGGTGATTTCTCATGCTCTTTTACAGTAGTGTCAAGTCCAGACACCAGTTTATGATGAGTCTCGAAGGGACTGATTGAAGAAAACAGTGCTCAGCACGTTCCTCAACAGCCTTCGTTCTGCTTGTGTGAGGATAAGGGCAGTTTCCTCTGGTTTCTTTTATGAGGGTCAGGTAGACTTCTCCACCTCGCTGTAGTCAAATAAAGGAGAAACAGAGAGGAGTCCAGGGTTGCAAATGATAGTCTCACCTTGCTATGGCCTCCTCTGCTGCGGGCGATGCTCTCCAGGGGTGTGTTAAGAGCCTCAGTCGCATCTGGGATAGAGGAAGCAATGCCTCTTCGTTTTGAGAGTGAAGCCAGTTACTTGTAGGAGGGGATGGAGCCTGACATTAGACCGATGACTTTCCATTATTTTTTTAGGCAAGGACCCCTTTGTCTTCGAATTACACTTGCAGATTTTTTTCCTGT